ATTTTCGATAGAATAGATAATAAAGATACAGGGCGATAGTTCCATGGATCTGATGGATCTCCTCCCTTGAACAATGGGACAGCAATATACGTTTTCGAGAGCTAGATGGAAATTGATTCACATAACACTTCCAATACCAATAATTTGGCAAATTTTCAATAACTTCCAGCGATAAATCATCAACGCCACATGCATTCTTTTTTTAATCTGAACGTATCTAATAATTCAGGCAAGTCTAAAGGTCGAAAATGAAATGTTTCCGAATTGAACTTATCTGTCATATAGCCTAGTGGGTCACATTGAGGAATCAAAGGGGCTGTTATAGGTTCTCAGCAATTGAGCAGTAGAAATCGTTCAAGATATTTGCATCTATATTTTCCTGATATGCTGTTTTTATAGGTTTTCCTCCTAAACAGTTCACTATTTTCCAGTTCTCTCTACTTCGATTTTTTGCCTCTCTGAGCTTTCCTGAATACTACATGTCCTTTGCCCTTTTAATAACCCTTCTATAAGTTGATCTACAACAATTCACATAGCTAATGAAAATTTCGTTATTTCTGAATTTGTCAAGGGCTAATAAACATCTAAGATTCTTTGCCGATATTTTTAGTCCATTTGTGAACCATGGTTTTTTCGATTTTTCTCTAAGTATGTGCAATGGATTCATGCCCTAGGTGGCAAGTGATTTTGTCATTTTCTAATCCATTCATCACAAAATAGGACTTACAGGTTGAGAAATACGCATTTCAAGTCACATTTGGCAATTCAAAATGGCGGACGATTCCAACATTTATTCTCATGCGATTCGCCATCAACTTCACGAATCTCTAGAGGTCCAGTGTGTTAACGTATAATTTGACACTCATTTGAGTAACTTATATCGCAAACTAAAAAAAAAACATCAAAGTAACATTATAGTTAATGCCATAATCCTATAGTTGCACAATAAACTAAAACAAGTGCATGCCAGAATATATGTGAACACTCTGTACATTTTAGGCGAATCAGACAAGAAATGACAAAATGTACCGAAATTCCAGATTGATACACAAAATTCGTGAGTATCGATCCTCGATTCTATCGTGAATAGTTGATGTATAAGTATTGAACAAAGTATCTCACACATTATTCTTCCCCTTTCGCTATTGCTGAAGATTATACAGGCTGATTCACGGTGAATGGCACATTGCACTTTTCTGGTGATCCAGAACAATTTGACACGTTAGGGTGACATTTATTGCACTTTAACCCTGTTATAGTCAAAGAGCTCGTGAACCTTGTATACAGGGTGTTTTCTAACTACGGTTCCTAACTGCAGGGTGTGATTTGTTAGGTCATTTTAATAAGAAAAGTTCCTATGAACATATGTCCTGAGTTGCTTCGTTTCTGAGATACAGGGCGTTGAACTTGTAGAGAAAAAAAAACGGTTATTATAAAATATCCTGAATATCCTGGAACCGATTTGGTGGAAATTTGGTACTTTTATTTGTAACATTTTTCAAAATTTCAGCCTATCAAGTGTCAATTAAATTTTAGACGGAAATAATGAAAAACTCATTTCTCCAATGCAGGTGTTCATGATATGCAATACAGTGGCTTTGAGTTTTTTCTCGAAAACCAAGCTGGGATATGAAGAAAATACAAGAGACCAAAAAGTTGTATTTTGAGTTTCTCGATATAAACAGAATAAAAATTCACCAAAAAAAAGTCAATGGCGTACTTTTTTTCACAATATTGTTGGCTGTGATACCCACTGAGACGCCACTGGCCCCAATAATTTCAATCTAAATAGGGCTAAAAAAGTGCCTTATTAGATCAAATGGAAGTACCAAATTTCGACCAAATCGGTTGTAGGATATTCATGATATTTTATAATTTCCGTTTTTTTTCTTCAATTTCAACGCCCTGTATTCCAGGAACGAAGCAACTCCGGACATATGTGAATAGGAACTTTTCTTCCTTGAATGACCTAACGAATCACCACCTGCAGTTAGGAACCATAGTTGGGAAACACCCTGTATAACGGTTTATCTGTAACGATAGAAATTTGTATAGTAGTGAATCAAAGGATGTTGATTAGGAAAACCATGACCTGACAAACCTCACCCTTGCACGTCATCATTCCCCATATTTCTGAAAGTATAAAAATAATTGAAGAAATAAACTTGTCGCTGTAAACTTGAAATCAAATTATGATGTTATTTAGACATTATAAAATGAATAAGTCCAAAATTGGAAGAAATATGATTTGATGACCAAAATTGAAGTTTGCTAAATGGACATTTTCTCGATTTATATCTGATAATGAAATTATTTGGATTGGATACATTGTTGCTACCGGTGAAATAATTTTAATTCACCCCCTCAGAAGGTTAGTTTACTCTAGCTGTTTTTCAAAAATCTTTGCTGACCGAGTATTTCTGGTTCGAATTTTCGCTTCTTATTACATATTTGAACATCTTATATGGAAATTCAGTTGCAACAAATGAAATAATTCAGATCCACCCCTTTAGGGAAGTAGTTTATTCTAGTTATTTTTAAAAAATCCTTGCTGATCCAGGATTACTAGATAGAATTTTTGGTTCAGAATACATACTTATTTGAACATGTCATAGATATCCATTTCTCATTAATAGAATAATAATTCTTGCTCAGCATTCCTGGTTTGAGTTTTTGCTTCGAATTGCATATTTGAACATCTCATAGAGAATTTCAGTTGCCTCTTGAAAGGAATAGTTTAGTCAGAGATATTCAAATATGCAATTTTAAGGAAAAAATCGTTTCAGAAATATTCTTGGTCAGAAATAATTTTCGAAAAACACCAAGAATAAACTACCCCTCCTAAGTGGTGGATCGAAATCATTCCCTTGGTGGCAAATAATAGTACATTATACATCAAGGTGCGATTAGTAAACAAAAAACCGTGGGAAAAATAGCATTCTGTCTTGAGGTGTATACTATATTTACGCTGGCGAAAACACAAAAATTAAGAAAGAATAAAAAGCTCGCACTGTTTGGTTATAATTAGTAGTAGTATAGTTTGTAGAATTCGTATTCATCGTATGCATGCATCTTGTTGACAACCCATGGTGACAGCAAAATGAAACTGCTGTACTTAAACTGCCGTTGAACGGTAGCCTACTAGAATGCCGTTAATATCTATGACGTTATTGAAGTGATGCGTTTGACGGCGCGTTTATGAGGCTGTGTCAAGTCTGTATGGTTTGACCGGGCACATACGTTCAGTATGAAGTCTAACTAGATGTTTGTGAATATCGGTGACGTTTCAAACCTGCCCACAAAGTTATACCCCATTAACTTTTGATGGGAGTCGAGTCAACCATTGACCATTCTGGTATCACCATTGTGGTCGAACGAATGATTTGACAGCCTGGATTTGCTTAAACTGCCGTTCGAACGATACCCTACTTAAATGCAGTTATTTGACAGCTCAGCTTATCGTAATCAGGATCAGTCTATTGTATCCCAATAACAATAATCAGTCCATGTCCTATTCTGACTAGATTGAACTTAGAACAAAGTTTATACCTGATGCTTTGCCCGTTATCGATTTGTTTTATTATCTCCCGTAAAATGTAAAATATGGCATTCACGTTCGAGAATTAACTCACTTAGAAATGAAAGAATGTTAAAGATTGCATTCTATACAAAACCAGAGTTTCGATTTGGGTCGCCTCGACAATCCTCCAAAACGAATATGCCACCATAGAAGGCACCCACAACAACTGATTACCTATATGATTTTTCTGTGTATTTTTCTGCGTGTGTTTCTGTCCTCACCGCACACAGAACAAAGCCTACTTTGCGAAGACGTTTCTGCTCGACTATAGATTGACAATTTTGTGAAAAAAATTCCTCTGTGCAAAAACGTCTACAAGTAGGAATTTACATCGTTATAGCTATTCAGTTTGTTAAATGGAACGAATTATTCTACGACCATCGAATAAAAGTTGTCATCACTTCAGTGACGTCAATCTGATAACGGCATTTAAGTAGGCTACCGTTAACGGCATTTTAAGAACAGCGAAATAAAAAACAAAGTGAAATTTATGGAAAGAGCTTTGAAAATTGTTAACGTTCATCGAACAAGAAATCGAGGGAGAACCTCAAGATATTGTTGATACTTCTTCTGCAGTGATTCTAAACTTGCTATCATTTCTAGAAATATGTATGATGCAGTTTATATAATCGCTTCAGAGAATTGTGTTCCAAAGAGAAAGCGCAGAGCTTATACGAAAAATGTAATGTTGGTATAAACTCCCTAGGGAATAATACGCCACTTCTGCCCCTCTTCTGTTACCGGAAAAACTAGATTCTCCTCTCGCCTGCGTAAAAATATCCATATGAGATGTAATGAGAATTTGAAGTGAAAATTCGAACCAGAAATACTCGGTCAGCAAAGACTTGAAGAATAAATTACCCTTCTCAAGGAGTGGAAATTATTTCATTGGTAGCAACTGAATATTTATATGAGATGTTCAAACATGTAATTTAAAGCGAAAATTCTGATTTCACCGGTAGCAACAATGTATCCATCCAAATAATTTCATTATTGGATTTAAATCGAGAATTTTTGCTCAGCAAACTTCAATTCACACGACTTGTTTCGCTAACACAGTAGCTTGTCCAGGTCAAGTGTACCAGTATTTCACCTGAAGAAGCTACTGTGTTAGCGAAACATGTCGTGTGTTTAATTATTTTGTGGAAATCTGATCGTTTGTGGAGTTTTTCACATTTACCATGGATTTCCATAAAGTAACGGTCAATTTGAAAAAAAAAGAAAAAATATTATTGACAAGGCCTACTTTTAAATGTTATTCAAAGTTATCCTGCATTCTTTCCAAATATTTGTTGCTGAACTTCTAATTCACCATTATTCTAAGGCGTTTTTTCCGTTGAGAATCCGAAAGTCTATCCAATGGGAATAAGGCAATAGTAATTATGGTAAATAAAAAAATATAATGCATGTATTCTTTTAGTTTCAGAGATCTAAAGTCAAAAAGATTGATGATGAAAAGGAACACAATGATCATCAGGAAATATCTGAGCATCCCAAGACACCAGCAGCTGAAGTAAGTTAATTTTTTAAATCTTATATTTCATATAGCTTTTGATAGGCAAATTATTAAAACAATATAATTTGAGGATTTTTAATTCCAATTTTCATTAATTGACACTACCTACCTTCTTCTCAATAAAGTTAAACCAATGTCATTCATACAAGAATTGGAAATCATCATCAGAATCACCGCTAATTATACTGTTACGATAAAGGCCCGGGTTCGGTCTTTCACAAACACTCAGTAGAAAACAACACGATTTAATCAAACACAAACACTACAGTCTACAATAAACGATACAGAATCACAATAATCACGTCTCTTCCACCTTCTTCAACTAATTTATCGATTCACTATCTCTATTCTTTAATAATATTCCCGCTGGGCTACTTGGCAATATTTATGTATGACCTAAGACATTTCTAGCATTCTCATAACCTTTCGAGATCATTCGCCAAATCTTCTTACACTTTCACGAAACAAGCCCGGGCGATGAGGCTCTTTCCGAGAACAGCGGCACGAGTCTATTCCGCAGAAGGTAGTCTCGTAACACTGTCCCCCTCTTCAGATTTTATCTTCCCGATCAAACTCGGTTCCCACATCAGCATGATTGGGCTTCGGCCTTTCAAGGTGGACAACCCTCATTTCAGACAGAGCGCTACGCTGTATCCTATAGACCACATCATTGATTCTTTCATCACCTTATATGACCCTTCCCATGAAGCTGTCAGTTTGGGGGATCTTCCCTTCTTCCTGTTTAGATATACAGTCAAACTTGAACTCCTGCTGAGAATCCCTCTGAATTTTCTGAGATCATACCGAGCCTTATTTCCATCACTAGCCGAATTCAGTCTCGAGCAGTCCCATGTATTTTCGTCCAGCTATCTCGCAATTCATCTGCATAATCTTGCATTTCCTTTTTTTATTGGATACTTGGTAGCTAATACAGGGTAACTGGAGTTCCTTTCCGAAGACTATGCTGGCTGAAGTTTCGTTGAATCATGGACAGTCGCAGTAGTCATCGGGTCGCTTCAGATCACCCCCACTCCTCCTAGATTTGACACCACTTGACCACGCCCCCCTCGACTGGGCCAATCAGAGGTCGGGGGCGGAGCTTATGGGCGATGGGCGAAGGAGCGTGGTCTAGGAGGAATTGGTTCTTCGAGGCCAAGTGGGGATAGTGGTTGGACCTTGGTGGAGCGGATTGGAATTAGGTAGGGGTGAGACTGGCTTTGATGGGCCAAGAGGGTGACATTGATGAATTTCGACGTGAAGGGGGATGTCACATCGATAGCGAGAATCACTCGGTTGCATACATACATGGTGATATAATATTCCTGACGTGTTCATGGAAGGTTGAGAACAATGCCTTCACGTACCCTTTCTCCTTTATCTCGTGAATGGTGGATGCAGATTAAAATTATTAGGATAGAGTATTGTAGAGAGAGAAAAATATATATTTCAGGAATCAACTACTTACCTAGCAGTTGCAGGATCTACCATAGACAGTTTGGTATTGCCCATTACATCTGTACTGTTAGAGAGGCGACGAAATACTGAAGGAATGTCATACATTCATTGACTGATATTCCATGACAGTTGGTATGAGATAACATTGATTGCACTCGTTTCCACATCACCCAAGAGGTAGAGTTTGCTTTTTTTAAGTGGAAAAGCATCCCCAGGAGGCCTATACAAAACCACTGTTGTGCGAATATCCAGAATCATAAAAATTGACGGATCTATTCGCGTGAGATTGAGTGGACTGTATTTCGTGGTGAGAAATAGGAAAATGAAGACGAGAGAGTTTGATGTTCTTACCTTAGGCTTAGGCGACTCATGAACGAAACAGCTACGCTAGAAGCTGCTGATGTAATCCAGCGATGAGTCTGCAGCCGGCCGGGGCGAAGCTGTTACACAACTGTCACAAGTTGTTCAAATGTTGAAGTCTTTCAACATAACATGGAAATTGATTCCACACTAGTAACCGATCACTCGATCACTTTTAGTAACGGATGAGAATAATGAGAAAAATGCGGCGAACCCGCACTGAGAAATCGCGTGATTTTACCAAAAATATCGATGCAAGTGGAGACACTTGGAGATAGTCTATCAATGCCCAAAAAACCTGGTGTTGAGCTCTCTGTCCTCTTTCTTCTCCTCGTGGAAGGTGTCGCCGTAGTAAGCGGCGCAAACATTAAACTCTCGTATGCGCGAAAATAATGATATACTGGGTGATTATTTTTTAAAGTTACTTATGTTAGTTTATATAAAATATTGAAACGTTAAAAATACAATAATTAAGAAAAAAAAAGAAAATTAATGTACTATAGTTATAGGGACAGAACAACCACACTCCAAAGATTTGTGGTGAATAATTCATTATAGAACAAGAGACTGTTGACATGAAATCAGAGCAGTTTTTGTTTGTTCTAATTCTGACTGCACATGGTTCAAATTCTAAATCAATAGAAACATTTCTTTAATTCGCCATATAATGCCAATTTTTTATTAGAATAGGTGACTGGTGACATGAAATCAGAGCAGTTTTGGTTTGTTCTAGTTCTGACTGCATGAAGGTTTATTCCTAAGTTAATTGAAACACTTCATTAATATTGTCACCCTGAAAACCGTTGATTTTTAGTTTAGTTCAATGCCCAGATTTGCTCGTCTGATTGGATTTAAAGAGTTTTTGATTTCTTGAATCCGTATGGCACTGAAGTATGATATTTAAGAAAATTTCGTTTCAAGCATACAGGCTTGTACTTTTTGGTAACATCAACTGTGATGACATCATGCTCTTTGGTTCGTCGGATCTGTTTACTGAAATTTTCGACGGGAGGGCCAGGTTTCAAAATCATATCTTTGATTAAATCGAAATTCACAACCTGTGAAGCAACATAGTTGAGGGATAAACATTTAACTTCACAATCTGGAACCCTTGTTCCTTAGTAAATCATACTTTGTATCCATAATTTTGGGCCACCTGACACAAACTCTGTGATTTGGGAAACGGGGCTGCAACAATCTCATTGGTCATTTCACCAATAAATTGGCTTGTAGGAATTACTCTGTCACCAAGTTGTTCCAAATACCCGAAAAGTTTCAGCCGAGCTAATGCTGCAGCGATAACAACATTGACTGTGGAAAGACACTCGAAACTTTTACTCCTATATTCTCAGTTGACAATGATGGTGTCTTCGTTGATGGACAATATTGAATAGATGATACGTGAAGGATCAGTCATCATCGAAAATAATTCCGAAGGCTCATTGACTATAGATGTCTTGGATTGATTTTCAGATTGGTTTTCATGTTGCCCAAACCCTTCCCAGAAGGAATTTAGCATTAGTTTGGCCAACGATCGTAATCCAGGGTTGCCAACAATTTTGTAAAACTCCATCAGAACATCCTCCCGCTGTAAAATATCTTCAAGTTATGTTTCTCTCTCCTCTTTGGTCTTACAATGATTTGGCCAATCTGACGATTCCTGCTTGGTTTCAATGAATGTATTCATAATTTCAGTATACAGGCCAGAAACGTCCTTGTACAGTATCGTAAGACCAAATCTCTTTAGTTTCGATGATTCGATACCCCACCTCAAGAGTATTTAAAATCTCCTATACCACCCATGTACCTGTCAACGCTTGTACTTCATCAGAATGATTACTAGTATCATGATTTTCACCACACACACGACAAAGGACAAACATCAACTTGTTGTTCATTTTCTGTTGAGGTGGCAGAATCGCACATTTAACGACCCCCAAGACAGAGGAAAAAGACACAGCAGACGCCTCCTCGCCAACGAGGACTTTCGGATGACCCATAGGAAATTCGCAATATTTACATATCCACGGATAAAGCGAACAAACGTCAACGTAATATTTGTTCACTATCTCCGGCCTTGTAATTTGTAATATTCGACAGTGTTTCCTGTTCGCCCACTATAAAAAGCATCTCGAGGGTTAAGGGGTAGATTTTTAAGCAGGCAAAGCTGCAAAGTTCTTCACTGATGGAAAGCGAAAATCACATTCGCATGTTTTAATAACCTCATGCCCTGAGGATTTGAGATTATCGATTTTGGCAGTGGTGGTGTCATATCGATGGCTCATAGTCTCGGAAGGACAGTTTTTGAGAGGAGTAACTCTCTGATAATCAAAACACCGGGGACAGCCATGATAAAAACAGCCTTGAAATTTGAAAACTTGTTTTGTTTCGACAGAATACCCATTAACCTTGTGATTACCAATGAGAGCATCTGAAGATAGGCAGGCCTGCTGGATTTTTACATCCCGTATTTTCTTCTCCCAAAGTAACCCTACTGGGTGATTATATCATAAAACCCTATTGCATGTCGAAGCGATCGTTACTGCCTCAGTGAACGAACACCCATAAGTTTCAGACAACATGAGCTGCCAAAATTTCACGAACATGCCTGGGTCAGTATATCCACATCCGAAATACAATAATCTATGATTTCTCGGGAAAAATCGGTGTTCAGATACGCACCTATAATGATGTTAACCCTCAAATGATGTCCTTATCCGGGTCGAAATGACCAGCACAATGTTCAAATGAGTCAGGATACACAGATTTTCCAAAAAAATGTATTTATTTCCTTTCAGTATAACATTTCTGTCTTTATTTATTATTTACTGGTGGTCTAAATTGATTCCTATGAGAACCTCACATTCAACTATTTTTTCTTGAAACAATTGATATTTTAAACATTGACATTAAGTCACTGATTAATCAACCTCAAAATTGAACATTGTCATTATGGCAGTGACAACTAACCTGTAAATATTTATAGCCTAAAAATCAGACACTGACAAACGTTAAAAAACTTTGACAACTTCAAAAAACAATACTTCAAATTTCAACATTCTCCTCCCAGTAACTGTTCTTCAGGAATAGTTACTTTCTTCTAGAAAATCCAAGGGACATAGTTTGTTCACAGGTCTTCTATAGCTTCCACACTTGGTTTTGACATCTACAATTCTTACAAT